TAAAGAGATCTGGAGATATAATGTGCAGGTCATTAACAGATTGCAGCCCTTCCTAGAGCAATGCACTTTTTATATGCAACTTTATTAATTCCCTCTTGCTACCATATATGTATCTATACCTTGAAGTATAAATATCAAAGCATGTGATTTTTATATCATACATGTTTACAGTTTCAATAGTGCTACTCAGTATTTTCAAGATGTTATGAAATTAAATAGAAACTGCTTATTCACAACTTTTCAGTAAAATAATTTGATGCTCTGGAGTCCTGATACTTGTATCTGTGCTCCTGATCCAGCTTAGCATTTCAGCATCAAAAATGAAGAAAAATGTTAATCATTCCACATTATCCAAGGAATATGTACATGGTTTTTCAGTAAGTCTATTCTAAAAAATAGCTACAGTTAACCAGGATGTATAGGGCAAAGGACTTCTAGTGATTTTCAACAGAAAGACTAAAACCACACAAATAAATTTTTTAAATGCTGGAAAGCTTAATAACTAACTAGTAAATAAAGATTAATAGAGGAATATATTATATATATGCCTACAGTTTGATTATGAATAGAAAAGAGTATGATACAAGCTATAATTCCTGTTACAAAGCATTGTCATCATGTGACTGAAAGCTACATTACAGATTGCCTAGAAGGTAGCATAATAAAACTTGCTGTAATAACATTTTATTTATGTCCATAAAATTGAAGAATGTTAAATCTCTGGTTATTTTATTTTTAACACAGAGATGAATTTTAACAAGCTAATTTATAAAAGGTTACATCAATGTCTAGATTTAAATCAAAAGAATTAATGTCCATACTACCAGAGTTCACAGAGAGAAATTCCTGCAAGACATTTCAATAGTTGATGAGGCTAAGGGTCAACACTCACTGTATCTGCTTGGAATTAAAAGAAAGAATATGTCAAAGTTTAAAAGTTTAGTTAGCAGCAAGCATGAAGTTCAACAGCTATGCCTCAGGTCTTCAAACTAACTGTGACTTTTTTTCCCTTCCAAATTACTACTTGGAATCAATACTGGAGTAATCTTGAAAAGCTCCTTCTGTTCATTCTTACACTCATTGATACATACTCAAGAATCTTCACAGACCAGTATAAAGTTACATAAAACTTTATAGAACTACTTAGAAGTAATTAATTAAGGCAGTATGTGAATACAGCAGTGCTTAGTCAAAGGTGACTTCTTTTACAGGGACATAAAACAAGCTCAGCTGAAACTCTGGTTGTGGCACCGTGTTCACCAACCAGAAGCCCTTCCTGCTCATTTTTCCTGAAGTAAACTAGTACAGTTTCTATAACAATAGTGCTTCAGCAAGTTCCTTCAGAAAGATGGTATTAGTTTCTGTTTCAAGATCTCTATTGGTATTTTTCAGACTTTACATTTTCCCATGAGAGGGCACAAAAAAAAAMCCCTCTTCACTTCTATACAACTGCTCTGGCAACTGATGGGAAAGAATGGGCATCGACTCCTGGGGCAGCTAGAAACTGAAGCAATTGGTGCACTGACACACTGTTTGGGGGAAGAGGATGGCACCCTTCTTCTTGAGGTGCTCCCACATCACTGAAGATCTGATTACCCAGCATAGCATAACAAGCAGTGTAATTACTTAATTTTCCTTACACCCCTGTCACAGTGAGTTGGAGAAGTTGTTATCTGAACCTAACAGGCTTTATGGCAGCTGCTGAAAAAAAAAAAAAAAAAAAAAGAAAAAGCACAAAAGGCAGCATACATCCCCTCATTCTCTTCCCAGTCTCAGTATGCCTTTCTCTGGTATTTATTGCCTCTCTGGCACTTAACATACACAGTGTTATATATTAATTTAATGAGTCATGTAATGCTTCCCTAAGACTGGAACATATCCAAAGGTGGGGAAGGTGGCCGCGGGGATAGTGAAGTCAGACTTTTCAATTACTCTTCAAAGAGAAGCTTTCATTCAGCTCCCATTTTTTAACTTGAGAAGCAATCCTACACGTAGAGAAAAGCCTGTCAAATACATGAGAGGTGTCTCTGCAGTTGCCTGAATCTGCATGAAGCCTAAAACAAACCATTGTAAGTAAGAACTATCTCATTTTTTTCCCCTCCTGAATGAGTAAAAAGGCTGGCATTGGTGACACGTTTATTTGCAAACAGGTAACTACCTCTGCCAAAAACATTTTTTTTAAAGATGAGAAGTAGACCCAAAGTTTCTCTTTCAGAATTTCAGGTAGAGGGGTTGAAAGTAGTGGCAGGATTAATGAAAATACAGGGATCATGCATCAAACCAAGCTACGCCAGCTTGAAACACTGCAACAGTAGATTGAAGGAGGTGTAGTGCAGTATTAGTGTCATATGTACTATAAGAAAGCTCAGCTTCCAAACGTGTAAATACTATTTTTAATGCCACAAATGTAACTACAGCATTGCAGAGTGGGCTGGTCTTTCTACACGAGGTTCGCAAAAGGAGAGGAAAAAAGCTGAGACACAGAGAGAAGGACCAACTTGCTCAGGAGCATGAAAAATCCACCTCAGATTTAGGATTAGAACAAGAAACAGCAATTKTAGCTTCTAACCCCGAATCATCAAAGTATACAGATGAGAGGACCAAAACGCAGAAAGGCACTGAACACCTCCCTGTCCATCGGTGAACCCAACAGCCGCGCACAGCATCACTTTCCGAAGCAAGTCTACAATTCCTCCCAAGTCCATTCACAACCGCGCCGGCTCGGGGTGTTCAACAAGCCTTTAAAGCACTCGCACATGTCAGAGTTACCCACCGACAAGCTGGGCTGTTGGCTTTTTTTCCCCCTGAACTTCGCAAGAAGCAGGGAGATGCCGCCAACCGCAGCCCTCCACCACGGGCCCCGGGCAGCCCGCCGGCCGCGCCAGCCTGCCCCGCATCCCGGCCGCATCCTGCCCCGCATCCCGGCCGCATCCTGCCCCGCATCCTGCCCCGCATCCCGCCCGCATCCTGCCCTGCATCCTGCCCCGCATCCCGCCCCGCATCCTGCCCTGCATCCCGCCCCGCATCCTGCCCCGCATCCCGGCCGCATCCCGCCCCGCATCTCGCCCCGCATTCCCCGAGGCCGCGGCAGGTGCGGCGGTCCGGCGGAGCCCCAGCGAGCTCCGGCCGCCCGGGGGGACAGGCGGAGGAGAAGGAGGGTTGGTACAAACTGGCAGCCCGACACACTCGCGGAGACGGCCGCCGGCAGTGAGGGGAAAAAAGGGGGGAAGGAGGAAAGCGCGTCTCCAGGGAAATAAAGTTTTCAAGCGAAGAGGGCAGCGCTCGGCGCCCCGCGCAGCCCCGCCACSGCCCGCCGAGGCAGCAGCGACTTCGTGAGAGGAGGGACGGGAACGGGCGGCCGTGACCCCGCCGATAGCCCCGCCGCCGGCCGGGCTCCCCCGCTACTCACCATGTTGACTTCGGAAACCATGTCGATGCTGGCGATGTCGATGTTCATCCCCACGCAGACGGGCGGACCTGCGAGCAGACCAGAGCTTTACCCGGCGGCCAGAGGAGCCGCGGCAGCGGGGGCGCGGTGGCCGGACCCGCCGTGCGGGAGCGGCGGCAGCGCCGGGGACAGATGCGGGGAGGGGGGAATCGCCGGGCGGCGAGCCCGGGCAGGGCGACTCACCTCCGAAATCCGGCCGGAGGCGGATGTCGTAGCCCTTCAACAATTTATCCACAGTTTCTTTCACGAAGGACATGTTGCCGGGATCGTTCACACTGTGGGGAGAAACAGACGGGGGTGTCGGGCGTGAGAGGCAAAGCCGGGGTGCGGGGGGCCAGGGGCGACAGCCGGAGCCGGGCGGGAGGGGGAGGGAGGGGGAGCGCATCAGCTTGTTCCCCTGGAGAAACGCATCCCGCGCCGCCGCCGGGGCACGCTGGCTCCTACCTCTGGGCGCAGCAGACCACGGCCACCAGGACGGGAGCAGAGAAGATCCCGAAGATCCTGCCTCCCCCAAAGCCCCACATCCCTCCGCTCCGCGCTCCCTTCGCGCAGCAGCAGCAGCAGCCGCCGCCGCGATCCGGCTGCCCCGGCTGCCGCTGAGGAAGAGGCGGAGGCGACAGTCCCCGTTCTCCCCCCACCTCACCCTCCCCCCCAAAAACAAAATCCCCCCACCCCCTGCCCCAGCACCACCGCCCGGCCCGCGGGAGCCGCCCGCGCACCCGGCTGCCCCCGCCCCGCGGCCGGACGCCGCCGAGCCCCGGAGGAAGCTGCCCTCCGCCGGAGCCCGGCCAGCGCCTCCCTCCGCCCGCCCCGCCGCCTTCCCGCCACCGGGAGGGGAGGGGACGGAGGGAGGGAGGGCGCCGCCGTCCCTCCGGGCGGAGAACCCGAGGTGGGGCAGCGGGGCTGGAGGGGCCGGGGGCGGCAGCGAGGGGCAGCAGCTCCCCGGGCACCGCCTCAGGGCACGCCCGACCTCGGCACGGCACCGGCCCGCGGCATTCTCCCCGTAGCGGCGATGCCCTCCGGCAGCGCCCCCGGGGCTCCCCGCAGCCGGCTCCATCTCCCCGGGATGGGAGCGGGATCGCGGGGCCAGGGCAGCCCGCAGGGTCCCCCCTGGAGTCGGATAACAGGGAGCCGCCCGACGCCGTGCCTCTGCCCTCCCCTGCCCCTCRTCCTGCCGCTCTGTTTTGGGGTCTGTGCGCACCTGCCCTGTGGCACATGGTGGGAGCGATGTCCGGGGTGAGACGCTGGGGCAGGAGAAGGAGCTGGCCTGCGAGCCCTGCCTGCTTTGACCTGCAAGGGCCTGAAGCCGTTCTCGCCACGGCCAGGGATGCGGTGTGCCAGGTGCCAGGCCACCCTTCAGCCCGCCAGGGTGCCCACAGCACAGACCGAGATGGACACGCTTTGCCAGGGAAAGGGTTTAAAACCTGGGTAACCAGGGTTGTAGTACTGAAGGGAAACAGCACTGGTACCAAAGAGATGTGGGAGAGTTGTCACAGGAGAGTTGTCACCTGTGAGCTGGATGCTCTTAACTTTGTATGAAACATTGGTTGGGTGAAGACAGCACAGTTGTTACTGTTTTTAATCTTCCAGATTAATTTGTCCTTTCAGCAGGACTAATTGACATGGAAATAGAAAAATGTTGACTTAGCTAAGATGTTTTTTGGTTCCAGAGGCAGCTCCTCATCGCCAGAGCTCTTCACCATGCTCTATGAACATRCAAACATGTATGGCCAGCCTCTGATTCTGGTTATGTTGCAATCAGTGGCCACGGGTGCATGACAAAGAACAACGTTTCAGTAGCCAAGGGAGAAAAACTATGTCTTTCTTTTGCACTTTTACCACCTTATTTTCCTTCCACATATTCTCTTCCCTTACAGAAACTGCTATGAAAAGGATGGATATTGAGGAATGATGTGGTTTTATGTATAGGTGAGAAAACATGGATGGCTTTTCCTCTCTCCTCAACACATTCTTGAAAAGAAAGACAAGTGCAATCCACTGTATATGTCTTAACCTTGTTGTTGTTGCATTTAATAAAGATCTAAATATAAGAAGGGCAGGCTCAGTTTTAAAAACAATATCAAACTCTATAGGTAATGCAGAAAAATTTAGAGAAACTGAGCATTGCCAAATCTTGTGATTTCATGTTAATACTTGGATTTTTGATAATGCCATAATGACTGTGATTATAAAGTAAGTGAAAATCTTAGCTTTCATTTAAAAACCTTATTAGGCTAATGATGAAAGCTTGAGAATTGTGGCATGAAGCATACACAACTCAAGGGCTCAAAAATGAAGTCAAATAATAAATAACTATGTAAGTAATTTAAAGGCCCTGGATCCTGATGTTCTGGGCAGTATTAAAGACCAGCTCTTCCACAGACTTCAGAGAAAGTGAATTTAGGGAAAGATGCTAATTCAATTCTGTCCCCCTAAATTCTGAAAGAAAATACTARCACCAAAGTAAGTATTTCTTTTGAAGAGTTTAACGTGGTTTTAAAACATGTTTAAGCACTAATAACTTTTCTTAAATAGATTGTCAATTTTATAGCAGAAATAAAAAAAAAAGTTAGAGAACACTATTTCTGATTAATGTGCTGTCCTGGTACGTTGGAACCGCACCTGAAGTAGGAATGAATCAACAGTGCTGTAGAGTTTGTCATATTTTATCACACTTCATTTTAGTATTTGTCTTCTTGATCTCTTGAGCAACCATTTCCATTTACTTGGGAACAGTATAAGGATAATCTAGGCTGGAGCTATGGAACAAGAAAGTATTTAGTGGGTTATGAAGCATTTGTTCCTTGGGACTCTGGATTCAATTAGCCTCAGCAGTAACTGAAGGATGCTAAAATTTCTAAACAATCAATGAGTTTCATGAAAGGTAAAAATCATCTTGACTTCTTTGTGACATGGCATTTGCCGTGAAAGTAGCACTGTGGGTTTTGTCTGCAGGAAAGACTCAGAACAAAGTTTCTGTGGCAATGGGCTGGAGGCAGAACCCAGCAAAGACCTGCACAGGGCAGAGCATTCAAGGAAATAATGGAAGCCCAGACTTTTGGGAAGCTATTGAATGTGGCCAGTAACAAGAAATGGGCACAGAAATAGACACCTTGTCCTGCTCCAGAATTCACCACCCTGATTTGCATCTGGAATTGGCTTCCAAAAATCTCCTTTCAAAAGGCAAGCAGGTTACTTCAAGAGCATGGCTGGAAGGAGTCTGGGCACTTCTATTCACTAAAGTAAAACAAAGCATCCAGTCACAAACTGTAGATTGTAYGTCCAAGAAAGTCCCAAGGAGATATCTCCTGAGATAAGCCCAGACTGCAGGACCTCAGAGTAAGCCTTTGGGTTTTGAAATGTTCCACTCTTCAGCAAGTAGTTAAGTTAGGGAGAGGGAAGGAATTAACTCTATARCCTAGTGGCTTGGCTGTTGTCTGGGAAGTACTGTTATTTCATAAATAATCCAGCTATTCATGAATTAATTACTGGACAAAATAAATCAGTGTTCAGTGATATAAGGAACAGAGCCCAATTCTCTCCTCCTTTAGGTGCCTTCAACATTGCTCATCCTCACTTGCTCTTTTTTCAATGTACAGTCTTTTTGTCCCAGTAAAACTATCCCTGTCAAATATGAGACATTGATCATTGTAGTTCAGGGATAAAAAAACATTCCAATGCAAATAASTGTGGAAGAATACAACCACTCTCTGCACATGAGAGAACTTCTTGGGGTAAATTCGATTATAATGGATTCATCAACTAAGTCTGGCTTAGCAGATACAGGGGCTGGTCTCTGGAGCAAAACTGCTGTTGCTGAGGATCTGTCATGCCATACACATTTGTTGTTTTGCTTTTGATTATTTTTTTTTTTACTCCATTAGGAAAAGTTGGGAAATCTGGTCCACTAGACTAAATGCTCATTAGCAGTTGGAGCAATGTGCTGCTGGGGTGYATTTTTCAACCTACTTTGAAAGGAATCGTGTTCATGTACTCTGAGACTGCTCTGAGATGTGAACCAAAGCACAGTTAGTGGGAATGATCAAATGATTCACTTTGCAAGCACAGTCCTGGTCTGCACAAAAATGCTAGGTAGGTGCATCCATCATCTCATTTCAGAAGGAGCTGGAGCAGAGCACACTCAGCCTTTGTCAAAGGACAGAAATGGTTGAAAGCAGTGGGACTGCCAATGAGAAGCGACTCAAAATTTTGGAACAAATTCCAGTTCCCTTCATCATTGTCAGTACTAATGGAGATACAGAAGAGGAGGCAATGACAGGAAGGCTAGAGAAGAGGAGAGGTCTGCTCACAACTGATGCATTTGCAGTGCTTCCACTATCAGTCACCAGACTGTAGGAGAAAGCCTGGCTTGGAAATCTGGGAAGAAGTATTTGATCACACCATGCAATACATCACTGARCTCCTGCTCTGGAAAGTGGTACTGGAGTTTTACCTGACAAAATGAACTTCACTTACACACTGAGGTCAGAATCACTTATCAAATTTTTTCTTCTTCATATTTCTTTCTGGCTTGTCTGTCATTTAACTGTTTTTGACAGAGATCCAATCTTATCCTCAAGCAAACTGCAATTACAAAGGGTTCAGAGATACAAAAGAAAAAGACCAAAACTAGAAGRAAGTGGGAAGAATTGCTGCTACAGCTGAAATGTTGTCTTCTGAGGAACACAGGACATTAATCTTCCTAGGCTGAGACCCATGCTGCTGCTTACCTACTCTGCCTTGCAGCAATTTTAATAGCCTGCTGGTTTAACCTGCTGAGAAGGTGTAATTAATAAAACTGGTTGGAAAAAATCCACAAGAAAATTTTCAACTATTTTTTTTCTTTTTCCATTTTGCTAAAAAACCTGACTTCTTTTTCACTTTATGAAATCAAAAGTTGCGAATCTTTTTTTTTTTTTTTTTTTTTACCATACAACAGAAAAATAGTATTTCCTTCAGAAAGCTCAACTTTCTTTTTTTTTTCTGTCCTACACTACCTCAGCAGAAGCAGAGTTTTAGAGTGACAGGAGGATGCTGGGGAGCATTAGGGCTTCAGGGATGCTCTGCACTTTGGCAGTTTATTACACTGTGTTTTGCCTGTTCAGATAATGAGCTGTGGTTGTTGGACATACTATRTGAGGAAACCAAGATCATATTTATTGACTATATATATTTATCAGAAAACATATATAATATTTGCTGCTGTTCAGTAATACTTAACAGGTTATTTAAGAGACAATGAGTTTATACTCATTGTCCCCATTTCTGTCAAGCAGATTRAATGCAGAATTGCATGAATCCATTTGCTTTGTTTGCATAATTTGCTGRTTTACATTTAATTATACAGAAATATTAATGGTGTTATGTCAACAGTTCTGATGTAGTGGAGATCTGAACGTTTCAGTGGGCCACATAAAGAATAAGTTATTAATCCATATGAGTAATGGGGAAAATTTGCCTTTAATTAGAGGCTTGACCCAAATTGTCTTGAACTGCTGTTTAAATTTCAGATGGGTATTTTTTTTCTTCAAGAAAATAGAACAAAAATTTGAATTAGCTGAATGAATTTAAAAGA